TAAAATATAGTACATTAATTTCATTAAAATATAAATAAATTCAGTCATTTGAAAAAAATGTATTTACAAAATGATGTAAATTTCTAAAATCTAAAGAACCTTTTCCGCTATAAAGAAGCGTTATTGCCGTGAGATTATAAAGATTCTGTGGATGAAGATAAAGGTTCTTCATGGAACCATTGATGACAAAAAAGAAGCTTAATTTATTTATTTATTTTCATTTATTTTGCTGGGCACAAAAACATGACAATTAAACAAATTTACTCAAAAACTCTAAACTCACATTATTTAACATCTTAAATGTTACTAAACATCTAATCTATTCACATCTTTTGATTAAACGTTTTATTTCATATTTCATGAAATACTATGAATTAATTAGTTCATTCTGTTTCCAAAAGTCACCAAAAACAGCAGCTGAAATGTAAAGTGATTTTAAACTGTTTTTTGAATGCGCAGGACAACCCCTGCAGCTGTACGTGACACACACACACACACACACACACCGTATGACGCTGTCGGCGGGCGACTCTTGGCTGGGCCACCGTCCCGTATCACACACACACACACCACTGTGACATCACTGCGTGGTTCTCTGGCACCGGCTGCGATGCCTGAATGATGTGTAATGGAATAAATCGCCCTTGTTCTGGACGCAGTGAGAAAAACACATCTGAAAACTGTTATCAGCTACTATGACATCAGCCGCCCTGGCCTGCACTTACACTGAGCTCATTTACTGAGTGTGTGTGAGAGAGAGAGAGAGAGAATGATGTTCACATGGAAACAGGCTTAGGAGTCAAAGTCCGATTTAAATCTGAGATCGCAAACAAAATTAAGAATTTAAAGCTGACATATTATGCCCTTTTTCACAAGATGTAATATAAATCTCTGGTGTCCCAGAATGTGTCTGTGAAATCTTATCTCAAAATTCCCCTCAGATCATTTATTATAGCTTGTCAAATTTGCCCATTATTGGGTGTGAGCAAAAACACGCCGTTTGTGTGTGTGTCCCTTTAAATGCACATAAGCTAGAGTTCAGAAGAGGGCGGGGCCTTCACAAGAGCTTCAGAGACTCCGGCAATAACAGCACAGGCGGATCTGACTGATCCAGGATCAGGAGTAACGGCAGCTTTAGCTCCGCCTTACGGAGAGACTCAGGGAGAGCTGCACTGCACAACTTACATGTTTCTGAATGTTAGCGGAGACATTTGTGAACTGAGCTGAGACTGTGACTGACACTGAGCTGACACTGAGACTGAGCTGAGACTGTGACTGACACTGAGCTGAGACTGAGCTGACACTGAGCTGACACTGAGACTGAGCTGAGACTGAGCTGAGACTGAGACTCAGCTCAGTCTCAGCTCAGTCTCAGTGTCAGTCTCAGTCTCAGTCTCAGCTCAGTCTCAGTCTCAGTGTCAGCTCAGTGTCAGCTCAGTCTCAGCTCAGTCTCAGTGTCAGCTCAGTCTCAGTCTCAGCTCAGTCTCAGTCTCAGCTCAGTCTCAGCTCAGTCTCAGCTCAGTCTTAGCTCAGTCTCAGTCTCAGCTCAGTCTCAGCTCAGTCTCAGCTCAGTCTCAGCTCAGTCTCAGCTCAGTCTCAGTCTCAGCTCAGTCTCAGCTCAGTCTCAGCTCAGTCTCAGCTCAGTCTCAGTCTCAGTCTCAGCTCAGTCTCAGTCTCAGTCTCAGCTCAGTCTCAGTCTCAGTCTCAGCTCAGTCTCAGTCTCAGTCTCAGCTCAGTCTCAGCTCAGTCTCAGCTCAGTCTCAGCTCAGTCTCAGTCTCAGCTCAGTCTCAGTCTCAGCTCAGTCTCAGCTCAGTCTCAGCTCAGTCTCAGCTCAGTCTCAGTCTCAGTCTCAGCTCAGTCTCAGTCTCAGTCTCAGTCTCAGCTCAGTCTCAGTCTCAGTCTCAGCTCAGTCTCAGCTCAGTCTCAGTCTCAGTCTCAGCTCAGTCTCAGTCTCAGCTCAGTCTCAGTCTCAGCTCCGTCTCAGTCTTAGTCTCAGCTCAGTCTCAGTCTCAGCTCAGTCTTAGCTCCTGCGGGTCTCCGGCATGAGAGTCGGGCGCTCTAGCAAGGAGGCTAAAGACTGCAGCCGCTAGTGTCTGTCGCTAGAGAGCCTATTGAGATCAGAGGAGTGAGGTTTACTCGCACAGCAACTACTAGCTGGCCTCCGTTACACTCACCCTCATCCTAAACCTCACTCTCAGCCGGGTCACGGCACCACTGTAACTGGGCTTCTGCCCCCTTCTGCGTTGTTATGGTTCAATAAAGCTCGTACTCCAAGAAATCTTCTGTCATCAGTTTATTCACTGAGAAAACATCGTGAACAGAGTGAGTTGATGTATAATTCAGTGTACGACACACCTCGTGCTGGCGCTATAATAAAACACACATTTTTCACACTCTTCACCAATATAAAACGCTTTTCCTGGTTTTGAATATATATACTGTTGCTCATGATATATCACACAATTCACAGACAGATAATTACAGAGCTCTCAATCACACGACTGACCGCTGGCCTTACACACTTGAACTGATAGTTGCAACATAGGGAGGGCGCAAAGCACCGAGAACTAGCCAGCCAATAGGAATCCTTTAGCCCTTATTCTATCCAATCATCTTTCAGTGTGATTATTTAGCAGATCATTATTAGCAAGTGAAGACACACACTTCATATATAACTCCATTACATCTGCACACACACACACACTGACAGTAATAGCTGCTGTTTGAAAGCGTTATCTGCTGTAATTCCTGGTGTAGGTGGGTATTACTGTAATTAGATGTCAATAGAGACATGCTTGAGACACTGAAACACAGAAGCCAAGCGGCCTCATTTCCACACTCTGATTTAAACCATGTGGATTTGGAGACTTTGTACATTTTTAGTTCAGATTAAAAACGGTAAGTACTTGGAAAGAAACCGGTTTTCTGAGTGTGTGCTCATGCCCGCGGGAAACCGTCTGCCAGACTTCTGTGTGATCTGTGTTACACACTCACTTCTTTGGTCATGCTTGACTTACTGCTCTATATCTAGCATGTGTAAATGTCAAAGATTATATAAATTAAATATACATTTAATGAGCTATAAATTCTACACTCAGTCTATTCCAGACTAAAGTTTCGTGGCCTGAGGGGTCGTGACCCACGGTCTGGAGATCTGCAGATCAGGGAAGAAAACTAAAGCTTTTCTGATGCTTTACTGCCCTCTTGTGGAGCAACAGACCATCATCAGTCAATCAGTCAGGTTCACACTTATTTCAGGAATTTATCAAGTGTATTAAAGCCTTTTAGAAATATTGCATGCGAATAAAAAGCCCAGAGTTCATCGTGAGCAATTTCATTCTTATATTTTAACCATCTTTGGAAATGCTGATACTGTCAAACTGATTTGTGTTCAAACAGGAGACAATCAAGAGACAAACTGCAAGAGAATTATGCATTCACACACACACACACACACACACACACACACACACATACCGTGTACATACATTAGCGCAAACGCTGACATACCTCATAGATGTATTAATTCAGACCGGTTTACACTAGTTCCATGTGAGTAAACAAAGCGTCTGCTGTGTGTCACAGGCATCATAACACACAGGTTTCCTGTTCTAGTGTATGTGTGTGTGTGTGTGTGTGTGTTTCCTGTTTACACCACAAACACACTGTGTGTGATGCAGAACCGCACACAACACAACCGGTTATTCAGGCAGGATTTATCCAAAGGCCGTTAAAGGTCGATGAGATCAGCTCTCAGAACCATCTGTGGACCAAACTGGTCCAGTGGAAACCTGTCGAAACATTTCCAGTTTCGAATCAGAGGAGATTCACTGCGAAACCACTAAACTGAACACTCAGCTTCAAGTTTTCCACTAATATGCAGTGTAACTTGTATGGCTGTATTGTATAAAGACTCCCCTCATTACTAAGCACACTACTCAGAGTAGATGAAAGAGGTTTGCAGAGGAAACAGTTCCTGTCAATCATCTGTCACAATGGCATCACCTCGAACACGGTCACATGATGAAGCAGGTCAATAATATATCCATATGGACTCACAGAGATATGGTTTTATTTTGTTTTATTTTCTAAACATCTGGATGAGTTGAGTGTCTCTTTAAGACAGTGGGTGAAGAGAGAGACTTGGAGAGTTAGCCAAAATATTAATGAAATTCAAATTATTAAGTGTCTGAAAACAAGGGGTCATTTATAAATGTGTGATAATGATGAAGTTGGATGGGGCTTTTCATTCATGACCTCTTCCATAAACCCTTTATTCTACATGTGATTTTTCCATTGGCTATGTTGGAAATTGTTTGTTGTGTCTGGAAAGATTGTAACGCGTCATTAATTATTAACTATTTTAAGATTTCCAGGTTATATCATTTGTGTATCGGAGCCTAATTGTTAGCATATATAAAAATTTAACATACAGTGACGTTTTCTTAGTTCGATCAATATTAATTTACACCTCAGTCTACAGCATCATCATAATTTATTTACAATCACAGCCAATCAACTGACGTGCTCCTGGTGTCGTCATAGAAAGAGGTGTGCCCTTTTCCAGCAACAGCCAACCAGATTTGAAGCAAGGTTTCTCACGTAGCCGCCTCAGCACCGAAATAAAACAATCTTGTTGAACTTAATAAAGGTATAATATTAATGATCTTATTTTCAATATCTATTTTAAATGATTACTGTGTATAAAGTAGGTAAATGCTATTAACAATGTGTAAATGATCACTCTGTGAATATGTGATCACTGCATATTATGAACTGTTAAATAGAATATTACATTGATTACTGGGAAAGACGTACGTGGGTTTTTAATGGTGCTGGACATAATATATTTAAAAGATTATAAGACTTTGAGTTTAAATGTCTACAGCCGTCGTGAGACCTGAATGTGTGTGAAAGGAGTGTGTTTGTGAGCCGATGAGCGCCTCCTTCCGGAGTGAAACGGGATCACACGCAGAAACACGTTCAGAAACACACACAGGAGAATCTCAGAAAAACACCCGGATGAAGCGCGTCTCTGTCAGCCATGAGAATCTGCTCCACACACGGAATCCACCGTCAATATTATTATTACTGATCTTCATATTTCAGATCGCAGCCAAAAATGGTCCAGTCCTGCTCGGCGTACGGATGCAAGAACAGATACCAGAAAGATAAAAACATCTCCTTCCATAAGTGAGCTGAACTCGCCAGTGGTGTTAACTGTGTTTCGATGTTGTTTTATTTCCACAGTTCTTGTGTTAGTTTAATGTGTGGCTCTAGTCGATGAGCTGCAGCTTCAGACACTGTTTGTTTAGTTTAATTTACTTTAGTTTAGTTGGGTTCTCATTTTAATCTTCAGTTTTGTCTGCGCTACAAACTTTACAGCACCACTCTGTTGTTTGATTGTTAGCAAAGAGAAGTTTAAGGAACATGAATGTTCAATGATATGCTAATTTAAATGATAATTCTGTCATCATGTTCAAACCTGTATTACTTTCTCTCTTCTGTGGAAGATAAAATATGTTTTGAGAAACGTTTTGTGTTTTTGTCTGTACATTGGAAGTCAGAACTCTTCAGAATATCTGCTTTTGTGTTTCACAGAAGAAAGTAAGTCATACAGAATATGTAACTGCTACAGAGTATGAACATTCTGTGCATTCTGAACATTCAAGACAGAATGTTCATACTCTTATTTTACACAACATATTCTCAGTTCATGAGATCATAATGTTATAATAATCCATTGGTGTTATTGTGTATGACAGGTTTCCTCTGGCCCGGCCGGACATCTGTGGAAAATGGGTGTCCGCCATGAAGAGAAGAAACTTCAAGCCCACCAAGTACAGCAACATCTGCTCTCAGCACTTCACCAGAGACTGTTTCAAACGGCAGTGCAACAACCGTGTGCTAAAGGACAACGCAGTGCCGTCACTCTTCAGCTTCAGCAAACTACAACTACAGGTCCTTGACCTCATTACTGATGTCTCTCTCTCACACACTGCAGTGACTTTACCTCATTACTGATGTCTCACTCTCACACACTGCAGTGTCTTTACCTCATTACTGATGTCTCACTCTCACACACTGCAGTGTCTTTACCTCATTACTGATGTCTCACTCACACACTGCAGTGTCTTTACCTCATTACTGATGTCTCACTCTCACACACTGCAGTGACTTTACCTCATTACTGATGTCTCACTCTCACACACTGCAGTGTCTTTACCTCATTACTGATGTCTCACTCTCACACACTGCAGTGTCTTTACCTCATTACTGATGTCTCACTCTCACACACTGCAGTGACTTTACCTCATTACTGATGTCTCTCACTCTCACACACTGCAGTGACTTTACCTCATTACTGATGTCTCACTCTCACACACTGCAGTGTCTTTACCTCATTACTGATGTCTCACTCTCACACACTGCAGTGTCTTTACCTCATTACTGATGTCTCACTCTCACACACTGCAGTGACTTTACCTCATTACTGATGTCTCACTCTCACACACTGCAGTGTCTTTACCTCATTACTGATGTCTCTCTCACACACTGCAGTGACTTTACCTCATTACTGATGTCTCACTCTCACACACTGCAGTGTCTTTACCTCATTACTGATGTCTCACTCACACACACTGCAGTGTCTTTACCTCATTACTGATGTCTCACTCTCACACACTGCAGTGTCTTTACCTCATTACTGATGTCTCACTCACACACACTGCAGTGACTTTACCTCATTACTGATGTCTCACTCACACACACTGCAGTGTCTTTACCTCATTACTGATGTCTCACTCTCACACACTGCAGTGTCTTTACCTCATTACTGATGTCTCACTCTCACACACTGCAGTGACTTTACCTCATTACTGATGTCTCACTCTCACACACTGCAGTGTCTTTACCTCATTACTGATGTCTCTCTCTCACACACTGCAGTGTCTTTACCTCATTACTGATGTTACCTCATTACTGATGTCTCACTCACACACACTGCAGTGTCTTTACCTCATTACTGATGTCTCACTCACACACACTGCAGTGTCTTTACCTCATTACTGATGTCTCACTCTCACACACTGCAGTGTCTTTACTTCATTACTGATGTCTCACTCTCACACACTGCAGTGACTTTACCTCATTACTGATGTCTCACTCACACACACTGCAGTGACTTTACCTCATTACTGATGTCTCACTCTCACACACTGCAGTGTCTTTACCTCATTACTGATGTCTCACTCACACACACTGCAGTGTCTTTACCTCATTACTGATGTCTCACTCACACACACTGCAGTGTCTTTACCTCATTACTGATGTCTCACTCTCACACACTGCAGTGACTTTACCTCATTACTGATGTCTCACTCTCACACACTGCAGTGTCTTTACCTCATTACTGATGTCTCACTCACACACACTGCAGTGTCTTTACCTCATTACTGATGTCTCACTCTCACACACTGCAGTGTCTTTACCTCATTACTGATGTCTCACTCTCACACACTGCAGTGTCTTTACCTCATTACTGATGTCTCACTCACACACACTGCAGTGTCTTTACCTCATTACTGATGTCTCTCTCACACACTGCAGTGTCTTTACCTCATTACTGATGTCTCACTCTCACACACTGCAGTGTCTTTACCTCATTACTGATGTCTCACTCTCACACACTGCAGTGTCTTTACCTCATTACTGATGTCTCACTCACACACACTGCAGTGTCTTTACCTCATTACTGATGTCTCACTCTCACACACTGCAGTGTCTTTACCTCATTACTGATGTCTCACTCTCACACACTGCAGTGTCTTTACCTCATTACTGATGTCTCACTCTCACACACTGCAGTGTCTTTACCTCATTACTGATGTCTCACTCACACACACTGCAGTGACTTTACCTCATTACTGATGTCTCACTCACACACACTGCAGTGTCTTTACCTCATTACTGATGTCTCACTCTCACACACTGCAGTGACTTTACCTCATTACTGATGTCTCACTCTCACACACTGCAGTGACTTTACCTCATTACTGATGTCTCACTCTCACACACTGCAGGGTCTTTACCTCATTACTGATGTCTCACTCTCACACACTGCAGTGACTTTACCTCATTACTGATGTCTCACTCTCACACACTGCAGTGACTTTACCTCATTACTGATGTCTCACTCTCACACACTGCAGTGTCTTTACCTCATTACTGATGTCTCACTCACACACACTGCAGTGACTTTACCTCATTACTGATGTCTCACTCACACACACTGCAGTGTCTTTACCTCATTACTGATGTCTCACTCTCACACACTGCAGTGACTTTACCTCATTACTGATGTCTCACTCTCACACACTGCAGTGACTTTACCTCATTACTGATGTCTCACTCTCACACACTGCAGGGTCTTTACCTCATTACTGATGTCTCACTCTCACACACTGCAGTGACTTTACCTCATTACTGATGTCTCACTCTCACACACTGCAGTGACTTTACCTCATTACTGATGTCTCACTCTCACACACTGCAGTGACTTTACCTCATTACTGATGTCTCACTCTCACACACTGCAGTGTCTTTACCTCATTACTGATGTCTCACTCTCACACACTGCAGTGTCTTTACCTCATTACTGATGTCTCACTCACACACACTGCAGTGACTTTACCTCATTACTGATGTCTCACTCACACACACTGCAGTGACTTTACCTCATTACTGATGTCTCACTCTCACACACTGCAGTGTCTTGACCTCATTACTGATGTCTCACTCACACACACTGCAGTGTCTTTACCTCATTACTGATGTCTCACTCTCACACACTGCAGTGTCTTTACCTCATTACTGATGTCTCTCTCACACACTGCAGTGTCTTTACCTCATTACTGATGTCTCACTCTCACACACTGCAGTGTCTTTACCTCATTACTGATGTCTCACTCTCACACACTGCAGTGTCTTTACCTCATTACTGATGTCTCACTCTCACACACTGCAGTGACTTTACCTCATTACTGATGTCTCACTCACACACACTGCAGTGACTTTACCTCATTACTGATGTCTCACTCTCACACACTGCAGTGTCTTGACCTCATTACTGATGTCTCACTCTCACACACTGCAGTGACTTTACCTCATTACTGATGTCTCACTCTCACACACTGCAGTGTCTTTACCTCATTACTGATGTCTCACTCTCACACACTGCAGTGACTTTACCTCATTACTGATGTCTTTTTCACACTGCAGTGACTTTACCTCATTACTGATGTCTCACTCTCACACACTGCAGTGACTTTACTTCATTACTCATGTCTCACTCTCACACACTGCAGTGACTTTACCTCATTACTGATGTCTCACTCTCACACACTGCAGTGACTTTACTTCATTACTGATGTCTCACTCACACACTGCAGTGACTTTACCTCATTACTGATGTCTCACTCTCACACACACTGCAGTGTCTTTACCTCATTACTGATGTCTCACTCACACACTGCAGTGACTTTACCTCATTACTGATGTCTCACTCTCACACACTGCAGTGACTTTACTTCATTACTGATGTCTCACTCACACACTGCAGTGACTTTACCTCATTACTGATGTCTCACTCTCACACACACTGCAGTGTCTTTACTTCATTACTGATGTCTCACTCTCACACACTGCAGTGTCTTTACCTCATTACTGATGTCTCACTCTCACACACTGCAGTGTCTTTACTTCATTACTGATGTCTCACTCACACACTGCAGTGACTTTACCTCATTACTGATGTCTCACTCTCACACACTGCAGTGTCTTTACTTCATTACTGATGTCTCACTCTCACACACTGCAGTGTCTTTACCTCATTACTGATGTCTCACTCTCACACACTGCAGTGTCTTTACTTCATTACTGATGTCTCACTCACACACTGCAGTGTCTTTACCTCATTACTGATGTCTCACTCTCACACACTGCAGTGACTTTACCTCATTACTGATGTCTCACTCTCACACACACTGCAGTGTCTTTACTTCATTACTGATGTCTCACTCACACACTGCAGTGTCTTTACCTCATTACTGATGTCTCTCTCTCACACACTGCAGTGTCTTTACCTCATTACTGATGTCTCACTCTCACACACTGCAGTGTCTTTACTTCATTACTGATGTCTCTCTCTCACACACTGCAGTGTCTTGACCTCATTACTGAAGTTACCTCATTACTGATGTCTCACTGCTTTACCCTTGTGGAACATCATCATCATCATCATTGATTAAACAGAATTTTTAAGTGTATTAAAGACTTTCAAAAATTTTGCATGCAACTAAAAAGCCCCTATGACCTATGACCCCACAGGCATCGTCTCTGGAGGACTCCTTCAGCCCGGACCTGGACTTTCCTCTCAGCCTCCCTCTCTCTGATGGCGAGGAGACGCCAGTGCTAACGTCTGAACCGAACCGGTCCTGCACCGACCCGGAGCCGATCCGGGAGCCCCACTTCAGCGCCTGCGTGTCCTGCGACCACAACTACACGGTGGAGGACACGGGTCAGCAGAAGAGACGGGTGGAGCAGCTGCAGGAGCAGATGGAGAAGCTGCGCAAGAGACTGAAGACGGTCCAGCAGAAGTGCAGGCGTCAGGAGCGACAGCTGGAGCGCTTCAGAACCATGAGCCGGGTCCAGGGCCCGAAGGACACCGCACCGGGGTCATCCTACGTCATTCTGCCCACAGAGATCTACGACGTGCTGAAGGGCATCGAGACCATCGGGGCGCTGTGAGGGTTAATCCTCTGTCTTCCGAGTGTGTGTGGACTGGACATGTCTTCATGGATTCACTTTAGGAGAGGATCAGGAACAAACTGAATATCCAATCAGGGCTCGGAGGATTCTGGAGCTTTTCCGAACCGATCCGGCAGAGTAACTAAACCCTTCAGCACGGGTTGTGTGTGTGCTCTTCATTGCTGAGCGAGAAAGACACGAACCCGATGACCAACGCTTCAGTCAATCAGGTTCTCATCTTCAGGAGATTTCCAGATCAGTGTTTGTTCAGCTATTAACTGTATTTATAATTAAAATGTCTGGAAATTTTATTGAATAGTTTATTTTTATTTGATTAATGTACTAAGATGACCAAGCTGGACTTTACTAAACCCTTTTTCAGTAGCTGTAAAGTCTCGTGTCGAAGGGCTGTTTTGAGTTTGTTGTTTTTTGCTTCTTGCTGAATAATTTATTGCTCACAAAACAGTAATAATTGTGGAATAGATTAAATTAAGCCATATTTGGGGGAAAAGTCTTTTTTTTTTGTGGGTGAGAAGTTCAATCAGAGTTGCCTTACGGTGGTTTGACTGTTTTAATACATGATTCTCCTTCTCGACCCGTTTGTGCTTGAGTTTCTGAACGATGATGTCACGGTTCTGTAAAGACACGCGTGTGGTCAAAACACCACAAACTTCATCACAGTACAGAAAGATTCCAGCAAAATATGAATTACTGCAGTCACATTGTAATAATTATATGGTTCATGTTTCAAACCGAGACTTACAGAATCTGTTATTTTGATTTCTTTGTCATTTTAGTTTGTTATGAAAGGTTGGCTAATAAGTTCATCTCAGCGTTACCGCTGTATCTACTCTGGTAAACTGGGAACAGACGGATAAATAAATTAGATCAGAAGCCAATCAGGCCACTGTGCGGTTACACCTGGCTCCTGTATCTGGATAACGGGTCGGATCTCGCGTTCCCGGAAAAAAAAGGATGGCTCGGGTGCAGTCGACCTGAACTGGCGGGATTTCTTTTAAAAACAGGTTTCAATAGGGGAACATTTTACAAATTTTGTAAAATGAAGCGGAAGAAGAGGCTGAAGAAGAGGAGAATGGGTGGAGCTAGGATGTCTAGCCACACCCACAACTATATTGCTCTTCCCCATTGGACGCCAGGAGGAGGAGCTGGACCTTGAACACTATTCATAGCAAATGGATATCGCTGAGTGTGTGTGTGTGTGTGTGTGTGTGTGTGTGTGTGTGTGTGTGTGTGTGTGTGTGTTTCGTGAGTAGATAAGATACTACTGCATTGTGACAGATTGTGATGTGCGTCTCCGTGTGGCCACTAGATGTCGCCACTGCTCCATTATTAATCTGCTAGTTCAAGAGCATCATGTGCAGTAGAGAACATGAGTGAAGCGCTTTGACTTTATTTTGAATATTAACATGTAATGAACCTGTTGTCTCTCGCAATCTGTGTGTGTTTGAGTGGGATGCAATATCTTTCTCTCTCAGTGCATACGATGAGACGCTGACCCGAAGGTCCTGACTCTCTCTGGTCATTACTAACCCCAGGATGTCCTTCGGAAAAAAAGAGTAGGAGTGTAACCAGGGTTCCTGGCCGAACTTGCCCATTGGCCAATGGCCTCCTAATCTCACTTCAATATCCTGCAGGAATAATCCTGATAAATGAGCATCTTTTCTCTTGCAGATAACGGCAGGCTTGAGTGTGCTGTGAAACACAATCCAAGAAACGCAGGGCATGGACACCAATGAGAGTGTGGGATCCCAGGACGAGGGAAACAGGAAGTGTGTACTGTAGTAGGAACAGTTCGGGAACAGCAGTCTGAAATACACAGAGAGCAGGATAATGTGAGGTTTGTAAGTTCAAGGTTTGACAGGGACTGGAGGTGAGGTGTAGTGCTGCTCAGTGATTGTCGCGTCACAACGCTGTTCTCGCGATGATTTCATGGTTGCTAAGCAACTCAGGCGAGCGTTTGGTTTGCCTGGTGAAGGAGCTAAATAAAAACAGCTAACAGCTAACAGTGAAAACGGCTAACAGCGAATACAGAAAACAACCCGAACTGCAGATTTACAGCTGAAGGTGAGCGACACTTATATTGGTCATTTCCTTAGTTTAGTTTAATAGATTTTCTTCTTGAGAACAAGACCAAAGACAACAGCTCCTTTGTTGCTAATTTGCTGTTGACGTCGGCTGATGAAGATCTGCGTGGTTTGCTGGTTTTATTGACGGTTTCTTTATGGCTGTCCATTTATTATTTTGGTTTGTAGCTGAAAGGCAGAGCTTTAAACGTTAGTTTGCTCTCATGTTCAGTGTTTAGGGTCACAGTGTAACGTTATAACAGTTAAACACAGACTCCGGGGTTCAACCCTGTAACGTTAACACTGTGTGCCTCAAACTTTGATTTTATATTTCAATATTTATCTCCATATTCTTTAGAAAACTCTTGAAATCGCCCTGTTGCCCTTTAAACGCTTTCTTATTGTTTTATTCAGTTTCCAGCAGTTCTGGAATATTTAAGTAGTAGAATCACTTTTGCGGAATGATTCACTCGTTTGAATCGGTTCACTGAATTGGAAATGTTTATAATGGTGTTCATGTTGATATGAACATGGTAATCAGTGTAATATCTGATGCTGTCATGGACAGGTGTGCTACTGCCACTGCACTTTAATATGTTTAATAATCATGCATTTGTTCTAATTATTACAGCTATTTTATATGTTTTGCTTTTAGTTTTTTTAAAAAAGTGGATTAAATGTGTCAGTTAACTTTCATCATGTCGCCTGTCGTTTAACTGGTAACTCTCTCTAAACTGCTTAGTATTTAAGAAACTGGATTATCCAGTATTGCATAATTTTCTTTTTTATTTCATAATATTTCATTAATACATAATGCATGTGTGTACACACCTTAACCCATAAGAACCCGGACCAATTTCTCCTTATAGGAAAATTATGGAGCATATAAAACACTAAATGGACCACTAAAACATGTTTCTTCCTGGTCTAACGCCAGCGGTTATAGACCCCTTTTGCGCCGACGTCACAATTACATCACAGCAGCTAATACAAACCAGCACAGATTCAGCTACATAATAATAAGGAGCTTAATTTATTATTATTATTATTATTATTATTAAATGTCATCTTAATAACAATCTTAAGGTCGCAATAATCAATAAAAAATATGCTGTATCTGGAATTTTTATTTCTAGAAAATATTCACATCATTAAAAGTTCACCGTCATGTCACTCATTACATTGTCGTCTTCTTTGCGCAGAGCAGGCAGAACTGCGGATCGTACACACAAGTCTTGTATATGATATTCAGCACATAGCCTAGTTATAGGCATCTAAGGAGTTATATGCCCTCAGTTCCTCTTTATGCTCGGTTTCTCTATCGGAAGCGTATACGGGTCGGCCAATCTGGTTCCGTACGTTAAAATGAACTTTTTCAATAGCATTCGCGGTCCTGCACAGTGAGAGATAAAATCGGATTTTCTCCAGTCATTGTTAAAAACAACAACAACAAGCCAACAAAACTTGAAAACTGACGTAAGGGAAGCGGCCAGAGGGATCGTTCTGCCTATGTGACGGTCTTGCCTGGGCGGTCTTTCTGCTGGGTGGAGCTGCACAATGGAGATATAAATGTGGAAATAGGGGTTTCACTTTATGGAGAAAGAATCAGTTCCACAGCGTGTCTCATTATCTCTGCTCTGTTTATTTAAAACAGTGCTCTTTCTTTTCTAATCTTTGCGTTGTGATCGTATAGTGAGTACAATTTTTCAGACTGACAATAGGACATTTCCAGTCAATTAATCACAAATCAACTCAATGAAATGATGAGCATATCAATTAAAATAAATGTAAAGAGAAATATTCCCACCTAGTGGCGAATATACAGAATACTACATGAATAAAACAATTAATCCATTAAACATATTATAACAACATATTTTATACACATTACCTGCACAATGGAGATATAAATGTGGAAATAGGGGTTTCACTTTATGGAGAAAGAATCAGTTCTACATAAAACACAAGACAATGCACAGATTAATTACGATTGTGCCACGGATTACAAAGTCAAAATAACTCGATATAAAATGACACACTCGACGCCAAACACATATCAAAAGTTACCAAACATGTTCATTGCAAGATCGATTCACATTGAAGTAGTTTTTTTATGCGTTTTGGACACTTTTAACTGATAATTCTCCGACTGCTCGAAAAGTGCAACTTACCCACAGCGTGTCTCATTATCTCTGCTGTGGGCGGTCCCTATTCCGTACACTAAATGCCATCACGCATCAGCCAGATGGCGCTGTCCCCATTTATGCAGAAATTTAACATTTTACACTCCGTTACACCTACACCTAAGCTCCGCCCACAAAAAAAAACATCTGTTTGACCCCAGCTGTAGGGTACCCCAGAAAATGTGTGTGTGGACACATGGTGTAGTGCTTTCTCAAACACTGGGCGAGTCCATGTTCCAGTCCTGCTGTTACTGCAGTCCGACCCTCAGAGGTCATCTCAGAGGTCACACCGCTGACTGCTAACATCCCACAAGCCCAGAGGAGTCATCCGACCCATGCGATGATGAGACGGAAACACACTGATTAATACCTTGATTATAATCACCCATTAGATTGAAGCATCAGTGGATTCCAGAACTACACCATCAGAACATCAGAACACAATGGCGGGTCAGAGGCCCATGAGCCGCGGGTCATTCAGCACTGGACGCCCACCGACGGCCCTCAGAGTCAGCACTGCGGTGAGTGTGTGTGTGTGACGGGTCACCGACGGCCCTCAGAGTCAGCACTGCGGTGAGTGTGTGTGTGTGTGACGGTCACCGACGGCCCTCAGAGTCAGCACTGCGGTGAGTGTGTGTGTGTGTGTGACGGGTCACCGACGGCCCTCAGAGTCAGCACTGCGGTGAGTGTGTGTTGCGGGTCACAGGTGCTGATACTGTGTGTGTGTGTGTGTGTGTGTGTGTCGCAGGCCCCGGGCACCGGCCGGCCCGGCAGCAGAGCAGGACCCGTGGCCGCTGCAGGGGTTCTGTCAGCACAGATTCGAGTGGCGGATCGGCCCGTGACTCAGCAGGGCCTCAGCGGGATGAAGACCGGTGGGAAAGGTGAGCTTCTGCTGGTTCTGCTGGTTCTGCTGGGAAACGGGCCACTACTGTGAGATCTGCACACTCACCCTGTTATTCTCTCCTTCAGGCCCTCAGAGGCAGATTCTGGATAAGTCGTATTACCTCGGGTTATTACGGTAATGTTTTTCAAGTCATTTATGGAATGTTTCATTATCTCTCAGACGAGACGGTCTGATTAATATTTGGTTTGTTTGCTTCAGGAGTAAAATAAATGAGCTGACGATGGAGTCGACTAAACTCCAGAAGGACATCGACAACTTCAGTCAGGAGAACTCTGTGTTCCTGTCCTACGAGAAACGGTAATTTACCACAGTTACGTCTTAATAATGCAAAAAAAGGCAAAAAATGATAATATAATAATATTGTTCTTTAAAATAATATGACGCATCCTTAGTTTTAAATTAAGATATGTTAAGAATAAGTATACATGATGAAAGATATGTATATTTATACTTCTCTAATATATAAGAGAATTGACCTTTTCTTTAGTTTTGATGACATAATTAATTTCATTCATAAAGTAATTAATTTGGTGTGTTAACTTTTCCTGTGAGCAGAGCTGAAGTCCTCGCTGGAGAAATTAAAGATCTTCAAGGCCAGCTGGCAGATTACAACATGGTACGCTCTTTTATGCCCATTAGAGTGAGAAGTTGGACAGAAATGCTGATTTTGAGAGCCGTGATGATGTCATTATATAAGCTGTGTCTTTTCTTAAATTTCCAGCTGGTTGACAAGCTGAACACAAATACTGAGATGGAGGAAGTCGTGAACGACATCATCATGGTGAGTTCACCTTATATCAACACATACTTTGTTCTTGACTCTCTGTGTGTGTATCCTGCTGATGTGTGTGTGTTTGTCTCATTAGCTGAAAGCACAGAATGACAGAGAAGCTCAGAGTATGGACGTGATATTCACCGAGAGGAGAGAGTAAGTGCTGATGTCCTGGGAACAGGTTAAATCTCCTCATCAAACTTATTTTTAGATCAGCAATTTTACATATTGTGAAAAAACTACATACAAAAAAAATTCGGGGATATTTGGGACAAAGTATTGTATACATCACTGACAAGCTTTAAAATCTTAAATCTAAATAAGCTTTTGAATGACTATGTTAGTGCAATGACAGCATTCACTGCAAAACATTTAAAAATGTTCTTCTCTAGTCTTAAAGGGGTCTTGAACTGCGTTGTTTTATTGTTTCATTAAGTTTCCTGTGGTGCACTTATAATGTTAGTATGATTTTACTTCAAGAAATGTCATAATACGCTGATTTCACGCAGCCGTCATTTTGAAATGGCTCCGGTGGGAAGAAAACCGGAAGTGCCGCCTTTAATCACCCCGTTTCCCAACTGTAGGGGGACCCCGAGAGCACAGTTTCAAAAGTTACCTAATGCTGCTTTAAAGCAAGGGTATACGATTTCAAAGATTGTTCATTATTAATGTGCTCGTTTAGATGCTGGTTAGGGTTATATAGTACAATCCTAACAAAATTAATAGAAAAAGAATGAAAAAATCCATTCACTCTATTGGCTGTACAGCCGCAGAGAAGTTGACCAATGTGAGCTGTCCGGCCGGACAGCTTACATATAATATAAACGACAGCAGCAAACGGCCCCTGCTTGCCCCTACTGTAAAGTGTGGACGAAAGAGAACGTCTGTGGAGGAAAGAGCAGAGATTAAAAAGAAATGTGAAGAACGCCGGACTCTAAGTAGGATAAATATAGGGTCCACCATTGACCGCTGGAGGAAGCTTCAGGGAGATCTGGGACTGAAAACCGACGCTGACACGGGTGACTTTTTTTAATGATGGGTTGAGTTTTTTTAAGACATGGATGAGTTTTTTAAAACTTCCTTACCGTCTCAGGCTTTCTCGACTGATTTTTAACAGAGTATACCATAGCTTTAAAAGCAAGAAAAGAATAAACGTGTTTTCTCCTAAAGTATGAAGTCAGTTAATTTTGATATTTTTTTTTATTTTATCTTCAGTCATTTTGCTTCTCCAGTAAATGTTTCTTGGTTTAAGAATGCTTAGATATTAGTGCTGTAAAACAGGAAGAGCGTGACAGCGTTTGCAGTGTTTACACACACTGTATTAACATGCTGAGATACACGTATGTGCAATTCTGTTTTATAGTTTAAGGAATTTTCATATTGCACTACTGCATGGAAAAAAGCTCCTCACAGTCTGCTCATGCAAAGACTTGATCAGTCCAGCGATGTGCGTACCCCTGAGAAGAGGTCGGGCTCACGGCTCGGGTCCGCGTCTGCGTGCCGGCTGTCGTTCCCTGGCTCGATGTAGCCGTCCTCGATAAAGCCGTCGTCCTCGAGCTCCTGCGCGCTGCCCTCCGTCTGCTGCGTGTCCAGGCTGAAGGTGGAGAAGCGCCCGCCCAACTCGCCCGGCTCCGCGTCCTCACGCAGCCTCTGGTGCCGGTAGTTGAACAGGAGCTTGTACCAGGACGGAGACTTGACGGCGCAGACGACGATGATGGCGGTGCTGAGAGTCAAAGCCACGACACCGAGCAGAAACTTCCAGCTGTGGCTCCCCGTGTGCTTCACTAACCCTGAGGACACACACACACATCATCATCTACACACAGCATCTGTAACGGTGTGTTCACACCGCCGCTCTCGCCGCCCAGCCGACGACGGCGTGGAAAGATTCGTGGACGCTCTGACGGAGATCGAATGCTTGGTCTTTTTTAAGACTTTATTTAGAGGGGCCGCGTTATTTGTGCAGACTGACCAGTCGGGTTAACCTCATGCAATCTTTTACATCTGCAAGTAAGAAATTGATAGATGGAAAGAACTTCACAATTATAGTGACATGTTTGCTTACGAAATAAACCAATTAAAAGCCATTCATGTGGTGTGGCTTTTGTGTTAATGGTTAAGTGCTAATCCAATTTGCATTCTTGCTGAAAAACAAGCGTTTTGGCGCGAAAATCTTGCCGATGAATAGTGTTGCTTGCCGCCTTATCAAATTCAAATGATCAACCTCTCCTCTATTTTGCTTGTGAACTAATGTGGTCGAGACCAAAGTTTACAGTTCTGCGTTCCCTGGAACCCCCAAACAAAACACTTCTAAATTCCGATTGGTTGCCGGCGAAGCACGTCATTGCTCATTAGCATAAAGTTGAGCTGACTTCAACTTCTCGCCGTTGAAGACACGCCGCTCTAGCCGGCGGTAACCATGCATTCACAGGTTCTGGTTGCAATTCTTGAACATTTTTGAAAAACGTTATCATCTCTGCGTAAACTTCAAAAACGTGAATCTGTGAAAACGCTGACGGCGTGCACGCCTGTATTACGTGTTCAGTCTATAGGTGTGTGTGTGTGTTTGAACACGTTAGTTCTTTCCATGGCCTTAACCACCGACACATTAGCTGTGGGTTTGATACTGCTTTGAGGAAAATGTTTTTCCCATTATTCCTGATGTTCTTACCTTTGCTGGAGCTCTGCTCTGTGGTTAGCACTGCTAATGTAGTCCTCGCTGTTGGGACTTGATTTAAGCAGAGAGAGTTCCCATCAAGGACAGCTGTTTTCTGGGGGGAGTAACAAAACAGTTCTCTGCCTGCAAACAAACATTTGGCAGATAAATAAACCAAACAAACATGAAGTTGGCCAGAGCCCGTGAAGATGGACAAAGCTCTCGTTCTCACCGGTGGATACGCCAGACTCGTTCAGATGTTTGATGAGGCTTGTGAGCGAACAGGAGCAGTTCCATGGATTTTCCTCCAAATCCAAACTCTTCAGTTTTATCAGTCCGTTAAAGATGTCTTTGTGGAGTGTTTTCAGTTCATTTCCCCTCAGTTTGAGAGTCTCCAGGAGCATGAGGCTGGCGAAAGCTCCTTCAGGCAGGGATTGTATGTGGTTGTAAGAAAGATCTAGCACCCGAATCCCGGGATACCCGCGTAAGATCTCGATATCCGAGTCCGACATCGTGAGCGAGTTCTGGCTCAGGATCAGTTCGGTGAGGTTTGCAGGTTTCCCTGCAGGAATGCTTGTCAGAGATGCGTTGTTCATGTCCACCTGAACACAAAGGGTAATGTGTGTTTCACTGCTGATTCTCTATTTTCACTGTATTTGACATGGAATTCTCCAAAGTCTAGTCTATGATTGGTCTATGCCTTATTATTAGACAGTAGCCATGTTTCCATCGACACGTTTTTATCCGAATTAAGTGATATCGAATGAAAAAAGCCTTATGGAAACAGTAAAATTCGATGAAATTTCATGAAAATCGACTCAAATGAAATTTGTTCAGTCTCATCGAATTTTCTCTTGATCGATATACGGCTAATGCGATAAAAGCTGATGGAAACGTTATTTGCCGAATAAATAATGAATTGCGATTAAGTTTTAGGCCCTTTTATGGTTGCAACACGTCAGAAGACGAGTTCATTTCCGGCCAGTCTGTTTGCGCACACATGGCGGATGTCAACAAAGACAGATGTAAGTGGACAAAGCAAGATGCTTCAACCAAAGGGTTTCCGTGAACCACGATCTCCCAGAACTGATTGAGCGCTCGTTCCCAAACCACAGTCACCTCCGCTGTCGTCGGGCATACGTGCATCGTCATCATCATAGCAATGTTTATAGCGTCGTTGTTTTCTTAGGTTAGTTTTGCTTGTTTTTACGTGGCTTGGTTGAATTGTAATGTCGAATGTGGTCTATTATTTCTAGTTAACAGACAGTGGCGCTGCTAGTATAACACACCGTTGCCATGGACGCAGTTCAGAGACGGAACAAACTATTTTCTTTAGCAGAAGCAATACTCGTTTTTAAATCAATAAACTCGTTTTTAAGTCAATATTTTGTGTCAAATGATTGATTTATTTATTTATTTGGTTGATTTATATGTAATAAGCAGGGTAATATATAGCGAGGCGGTTGTTATAGCGAATACAACCCCTTCAACAACCGCCTCGCATACATTATCCCATTCATATGTCGCTATCAGCTGGCACATAAGCATTATTAGGCTTCAACTTGTAAAATATTTATCATTTTTTGGTAGATGGCGCGATCCGTTTTGTCTAACAAAACTTTGTTCGCAAAAGTTCGCTTGAATGTTGTTCGATTCAGTGCGAAAATAAATGGAAACACCTGAAAATGTCTCAAATCAATTCGATATACCAATTTGATCGCAAAACAGCATGTGACGTCATTACGTACAGGTTTTTATTCGCTTTAAAGCCGTTGGATGGAAACACACTTTCACCAGCTTTATCCGCATGAGTTTTTTAACCGAATTTCAGATAATTCGATTGACAAGTGGATGGAAACATGGCTAGTGACTGTAATTCAGTGTAAAGCAACAGCTGAAGCTCTCACCTGCAGTGCGATCACATGTGAGCTCATCAGAACGACTGCCATCCAGAACACACACACTTCTGTCCCGGCCATGATCTCTGCGAACACACACACACACACACACCTGTGATCTCCGTCACCTGTAATGAGAACAGCACTGCATCAGACACACTCACCCGAACCCTGTGTATGAGAGAAGAGCTCTCGATTACTGATCCTGATAGAGAGTGAAAACCCTCTTCATGAGCGTCAGACAAAGAGGATCTTTGTGCGTAGAGTCCGTGTCCTCTGAGCATCTGATGTCCCGTGTCTGTGCTTGTGTTCTTGCCTTCTGACACACAGATCCTCATGGCTTATCCTGGACATTCCCCCAGTGTTCTCACGTGTTCTCCGGTTTTCTCTCTTGTTCACCTGTGTTTTTGCGTGTTCTCCCGCGCAGTCCCTTGTTCTCGCATGTTCTCCGGTGTTTTCCATGTGCTCCCGTATTGTCCCGATGTTCTCTCGTGTTCTCCTGTATTGTCCCGGTGTTCTCCTATTGTTCTCTCGTGTTTTCCAGTGTTCTCCATGTTCTCCTGTGTTCTTCAGTGTTCTCATTTGTTCTCCGGTGTTCTGCTGTGTTCTTCCGTGTTCTCGCATGTTCTCCCGTATTGTCCCGATGTTCTTCTGTGTTCTTGCATGTTCTCCGGTGTTCTCCATGTTCTCCTGTTGTTCTCCGGCGTTCTGCCGTGTTCTCCAGTGTTGTCCGGTGTTCATCAGTGTTCTCTCGTATTTTCCCGTGTTCTCCTGTGTTCTTGCATGTTCTTCAGTGTTCTCATTTGTTCTCCGGTGTTCTGCTGTGTTCTTCTGTGTTCTCGCATGTTCTCCGGTGTTTTCCATGTTCTCCCGTATTGTCCCGATGTTCTTCTGTGTTCTTGCATGTTCTCCTGTTGTTCTCCGGCGTTCTGCCGTGTTCTCCAGTGTTGTCTGGTGTTCATCAGTGTTCTCTCGTATTTTCCTGTGTTCTCCTGTGTTCTTGCATGTTCTCCCGTGTTCATTAGTGTTCTCCCATGTTCTTCCGTGTTCTCCTGCGTTCTTCCGTGTTCTCCTGTGTTCTTGCATGTTCTCCGGTGTTCTCCAGTGTTCTATGGTGTTCTCCATGTTCTCCGGTGTTCTCCCATGTTCTTCCATGTTCTCCAGTGTTCTCCCGTGTTCTCCAGTGTCCTCCCATGTTCTTCTGTGTTCTCCCGTGTTCTCCTGTGTTCTTGCATGTTCTCCGGTGTTCTCCAGTGTTCTATGGTGTTCTCCATGTTCTCCGGTGTTCTCCAGTGTTCTATGGTGTTCTCCATGTTCTCCGGTGTTCTCCCATGTTCTTCCATGTTCTCCAGTGTTCTCCCGTGTTCTCCCTTGTTCTCCAATGGCTGCTGTGATCACTCAGTTTCATGTCATTGTCAGTTTTGTTCTGCATCTTGTAGATGAATTCAACCCATTGCAAATGAACAGAACTTTATAGAGTTACTGAACTGAGTTGATGTGATAATGCCACTGTTGTGTTTACAGCAGGAATACGTCTCCTTCTCTCGAACACAGGCGCTGTAAGGGTTCTAGTGCACGAGTGGTCATGCGATTCTCAGACACGTTTATAAGTGATCATTATAGTAGTCTAGTATAGGTCTTCTTCATTGAATCCGCACATCTTCAATATAAACATGTTGGTTTCAGTTTTTGTAGTAATAGTGATGTTTAAAAGACTCTCTAAGGATAATTGTTGCTCTGCTTTTCTCCTCAACTATAAACTTCATGTGTGTCTCCTCTGCCACCGCTCTCTAAGCCCTGTTGGAAATCTCTGTGTTTATGATACACATATGATAAGTCTATATTAGTGTATTCTTCCTTCTCTTCTGCTGTAAATCTCCACACGACTGGGTTATTGTATCTTCTGCAGTTGGGATTATGACTCATAAGCAGCATCAAACTTCAGCTTTTTATTTTTATTATAGTTCAAATTATTTTAGAGCTTGGATTCTTTAAAGATGTATTCTTTTTGATTACTTGTTTGAAATGATAAACATGGATAATATCTTCTGAACCTGACCGAACATTAAACAAACCAGTTCTATTATATCACACGCACTACTAAAGGTGAACTGAAAGCTGTTTTCTTTAAAAAAAAAAGTAAAGAAAAGAGAATGTTATAGATATGGTTGTTAGAGTCACTTACCCTTGAGTCATGTGTGATAGCGTGTTAACACACACTTGAACCAGCCGAGACAGAAACAGACCTTTGCTCTCTGTAATAAAGACTGGCTAAAGATTGACCACTTCAGAAGTGAACTATGACCTTTACTGTGTTCCTGTTGCTCATGGCGATACAGAAACCCTAAGGTCATGGGTTTCATTCCCAGGGAATGCATGAACTGATGAAATATCTATTCCTTGAATGCAATGTAAGCTGCTTTCTATAAAGTGTCGATCGAAATAATATTGTTGAACTTTGGTACAGTCTCAGAGTTTCTTTACTCCGTTCTCAAAGTAATCTTTAGTTTCAGTTTTGTAGCACAGCTCTTTAAAGCAGTGTCCTGCTCTCATGGACCAAAGCCCTATCATAACACAAGCCAGTGATGTCCTATTTAATTAGAATATTATTAAAATTATTTAAATAGCAACGATTAAAAATGTGTAACTTTGCTTTCCATTCATTTTCCTCACTTAATCCTCACTCTGATTCCACAGAGAAAACTACTAGCCTAACTTCAAACATTATTAAAGGTGTAGAACAGTCAGTACGAAATAAAAACAAATACACAAATTACAAATTACACGCATTAATGTTCCAAATAAAATATTGTCTAACAGTAGTATTCATTTCAGGTACAGAAATGTATTAATTAAAAGAACACTGTTCACTGAATATATTCAATAAAAATTAATCTTTGTGAAAGCTGTGTTTCTGTAGTTTGATTAACATTAATAACATTCAGTATAGACACCAGCAGGGATTTAAAGACCAAATATCGATGCACATCCTTTTCTTTTTTCCTTTCTATCAAGACGAAGCGGCCTGTGTTTATGGGAACACTCTCCGAGACTCGTGTCCAATCCAAACCGTCCACAGGCAAGCGAATGCGGAGAGGAATCAGTTATACAATACTGTACTGACCGTTTCATCGCAGCTTTACTGAGATAATAGGAGAATAATGGATCAAGTCAGTTCAGTGTTGATTCAGTTCCAATGTAAAGATCATCAGTTATTAAATTAGTTAATTTCCTGGTAACACTTTATAATAACTACACGCTATTAATCATTAGTTAGGCATGTTGTAAACAGTTAATTCATCATTCATAAAGCATTAATACATTATTAAGCAGTTCATAAATACAGCTATAAATGCTTTCTTCTTGATTTAAAAGCATATCTATAATTTGTTTAATAATTGTATTTTCATCCTTTATTAATGATTAATTTATCATTTCTAAATGAAGAATTGCATTTTTTATTAACCAGTTATTTAAGAGTTTTCAGTGGTTCATATGATTACTTAGAGTGAGTAAGTAAATGATTAATAAACTATTTAAATGTACATTCATACATCTTATTATTCAGACATATAGTGATGGTTACTTAATGTGTTAATAAATTCTTTATTAACATGTATTAATGCTGTAATTAAGGGTCGATTTGGGTAGTTATAAAGCATTTAGTAGTGGTCAGTTGACTATGTTTGTGAGCTCATCTAAAGTGAGGACTAGTCATGCCTTGTAAAGCATTTTTAAAGGCTGTTAAATATTTCTCTGTTCTGTATCACTGCGTTGTGTTTGTTACATTTTACTGTTTAGAAGATTGACGAGTCTTTAAATCACCTTTATAAATGCTTTACAAAGCATGAATAGTCCTCACTTTAGATTAGGTCACAAAAATAGTTAACTAACCACTACTAAATGCTTTATAACTACCTGTATTTACTACATTTACTTACACTTTCTAAGTGATCTTATGAATGACTGACAACTCTTAAACTAGTTTGTAAATAATGCTATACTTCATTTAGAAATTATTAATTGATCATTAACAAAGTATGAAAATACACTCATTAAACGCATTATTATTATGCTTATAAATCAAGAAAAAAGCATGTATAGCTATATTTAGAAACTGCATATTAATGTCTATTAATGTTTTATAAATGATGAATTAACTGTTTACTCACGCTTAACTAATGATTAATAGTGTGCAGTTATTATAAACTGTTACCAATTTCCTTTATAAAGCAGTTCTGTAGAACACAGTGATGTCGTCATCATCTCAGTTCAGTTCTCGTACAGCAGCGTCAGTGCGGTCAGATCAATAACACTGCTGGATATTAAGTGTCCACAACTAATGAAGCAGCGCAAACACAAACATCAGTGACAGAATAGAGGAAAACCTTGAGAGAAACCTCAACCGCTCAGTTCTCCTCTGGCCTGAAGAAGAACAGTGTGTGATTAGGATGTACAGTAATAACTTTAACATTCTTTCTGTCAGGAAAGAGGATCTGATCCGCGCCGTGGAGGATAATATAGTCCAGGAGAAACAGGCGGCCCAAGACATCGTCAAGAAGATGAGTGCGGAGAAACAGGCCAAATACACTGAGAGGAAGGCCACCAATGAAGAGCTACTACAGGTCAGGGTGACCCCACCTGTGTCATGAGCTAATCAGCAGGATTACAGTAACAGGCCTGATGTATCATATACTGTTCACTGCGAGCCAAAATAACGAGCGTGAGTGACCCGATCTAGAGCGTATTAGGCAAAAGTAATGGAAAAGCAGTGGAATGGGCAAACACGTTCTGTGTGAACTGGCCAATAATACATGCGTAAAAAAAAAGTACAACTCCCAGAACGCATCTACTCTAAGCAGCAGTTGCGTTTATAGTGGGACCAGTTTAGCCTGGTGCGGGTCCAGTATCTGCAGGGGAAGTAGATCTGGCTATGTTGTTCTTCCTCAAGATCCATGCATGTTTATTAACCGCTAGAGCGCCAACAGCCACGCACTGTAGCTTCAATCTTTATCACATCTACATCACACGAGTAGACTCCTGTTTCTCAGAGTATTGCATGATTGCAAATGTGATGCTGAACTTGTACAAAAGACCAATAAACAAGTTGATATTAAGTGACATTTTTTCCGTAAAACTGCCTGTTTTTGCTCTATATCCTGAAAATAATTTCAGACAAAGTCATACCAGAACTGTTGCGCATCTCCAAGCAACGCTCATTCTTGAATGAATCTGCGTTTTGAACGATTGAAAGAATGACTCGCACATTAAGACTTGCTGCCAAATTCTTCAAATATTTAAGATATTAATGTAGCATTATTTCCCCATGAGCAGTCTGTGTCTAACACCACTTCAGATGCAGCTTCTGTGCCGCTTCTGCACTGCAAAGAAGGTTTTTTATTTGATTGGTTGTGTCTTATTGTTCTAACTGAATTTACTATTTAAATTAACATTTAAAAACAAATTTTAAGATGATGCATACATTTAATATGATTAGAAAAACGTGCTCTTATAATTGTATGAATGCCCCTGGAAATGAATTTAAAGGGGCAAAAATGGCCTTTTATAGACCAGAAAGTGTTAACGCCAACGTCAAGGGTTTGATTCCCAGCATCACAAGAACTGGAAAAATAACATATAGCTTGAATGCCATAGTGTTTGCCAAATAGATGTAAATACTGAAAACAAAAATAAGTAAAGCATGTCTACATGAAGTGTAGTTTAGTGGGGAAATAGCTTCAGTGCCAACTCCACACTTTAAATGAAAACAGTCTAGAAATAATTTATGCGGGTGATTAGAAGTTCACTGACATGACGGATGTGCCGTGACTTTCCTCTCGTCCAGGAGCTGAACTCCCATCAGGAGGAACTGGACGCTCTGATGAGTCGAAAGGAGACGTTTGAGGCGGTGAGTGGACACACACACACACACACACACACTTCTGGGTAGTCCATCCAGTCATCGATGATGACTTCTCCTATAATGTGTCTGTTCTTTGACTGTATAGATGCGGGACGCACACTTTCTTCTACACACAGGGCAATTAACCGTTTCTCCAGCTTGTCTTGAGGAGCAGAAACGAGCATGGCCTGCTCTCTCTGATGTCTTCTAGTTGGGCGATGTTCAGTTCTCCTGTCTTCATAACTTTGTACTCACTGCACTAGTTTCCAGGGATGTGGTGGGCTTCATCACACACTTCTTAGGAAAGCTTTTAAGTTGGTCTTTCAGCCTCTTTTTTTTGTCCCCCTGCAAATCGGGAGCCAAGATGTACAGTAATTGACCGTACGTTATCTTACTTAGTTGATATGCAGCAATCTTTGTGTGTAGATGTAACGTAGTATTACTGAAGCATGGATGAAGCTTGATCCTGTGTGTTAAATATCTTCCATGCTACAATCACTAGATAAATAACTGCCAAGATAGTGAAGTGTGGCTCTGTGGTAAGTGGGGAATCATGAATAGTGAATACTGGAATGTTAAAGAGGTTACCATCCAGTCTATAAGCTACTGCAACCCCACTGTCTTCTTCTATCTCTTTATACAGCAGCTTTGTAAAACACAGTATGAAGATGTTAAACAAGTGCGCCGATTCTAATCCACCCAATGTTACTTTGGCATTCATCCCATCATTAAACTGTCGCAAGATTATGGTAAAGTTTACAGAGCATTCAAAATGCCAAATCACTTCCGTAAGAGGTCGAGTCAAGTCACCTTTATTTATATAACCCTTTTTACATACAGACTGTATCAAAGCAGCTTCACAATGACAACATGATAACAATACAACAAGCCTGTTTCAAGTAGAAAATTGCGTCAATGTCCACCCTAAGTAAGGCAGAGCAATGATAATGTTGAATATCAAATGTCCCCAACTAAGCAAGCCAAAAGCCAAGGCAACAGTGGAGGAACCAAAACTCCATCAGGGACAGAATGGAGAAAAAACCCTTGGGAGAATCCAGACTCAGTCGGGGCCAGTTCTCCTCTGGCCAACGAAGGAACAGTGTGTGATTCGGGTAGGGTTACAAATCAAATTGGATCAAAACATTAAGAGTATTTGTCCATTTCCATCTGTTTGTAAGTCGAAGTAATCAAGCCGGTTTGGAGACGAGATGTTGAGGATCAGGCTGTCATGGCTGTCGTGTCGATGAGGTCGGCACTTAAAGGGGAAATGAAGCAGTGAATCAAGTTTACATGATTTACAAGATGGATTTCCAATATAATCAACAATTATATAAGGAACATTACAAATGTAAACATTTAG